GTATCCCAGTACTTATTTGAACGATAATCACCCCCCCCCCCCCCCTCACCCCCCTCCAACAGCTCTCCTTCAAGATATTAAATTCTAAAACTCATTATCAAAGGCGTTCAATCTGGGTGATTTTTCAATTTGCTCTTTCAGAGAACTGAATTATTCAAACTTTGTAATTTTTTGAAAGCATTGCAGTTATACCGTGATTATAGATATGCGATCGATGATTTCTTTTTACTCCGTTATACTTCATATATTATTAACGCTTTGTTGAATATCAAACCTCTGAGGTGTTGGAATAAGATTCACTTGCACAACGAAAAAGAGAGTTCTTAATTATATCTAATTAGTTCGCTAAAAAGTACTGAATGAACTGCTGTTTGCGTTGAAATCGAGATTCCAAGGATAAAAAAGTATTTCAAAAGGCCTATGTTATAATGTATGTTTAGACTGTCTTTGGCTTTGTTTAGAGAGAATTATATGCTCGATGTTTTTTCTTCTTTTTTAGATCTCATACCTTGATTGCAATAGTTATTATTCTTTTATCACAGAAAGTCTGTAACAATAAGCCACAATGATTAGTCTTTCTGTCGAGTGCTCTGATTGACTGTATTTGCTGGCGTACAATCCAATCTAATCACTGTATTCCATGATACAAAAACGATAGCTATTACATTCAAGGTATAAGTTCGTAAAATCTTGGCATTGTTAAGATGTAGTACATGAGGCTCATTTCATTAAAGTATTGCGAGCATTTGTAATCTTACGGCGACTTAACGCGTATTTGGGCGCTGGCAAACGTTAAGAAAACGAAAGAAAAGTGAAATGTGCAGCATATGCAACCATTTTGCGTTTCTAATACAATCTATGGGCTTAGTGCACTTAATTTTCTATTGCGTTTATGGGCTTGGTCTAAGGACATTCTCGACGGCGATTGTTAGCGACAATGGCTGCCACCGTACGGTATCTTACGCTTCCTTCTCGTTTATACCACGCTTATGGTGACCTTAACGTGCTCTGAGTTAATTATGTTCCGTCACCGTAACGTTGTGACGAGCTATTACGGTTAAATTTCACAAAAGTATAATTGTCGATTAAATAGAACCATTAGCTTTTACCTGAGTGCTAAAAGATTGACGTGTTTACAGTCTGGTAGGGTTCAGTCTGACTATTCCCAATCTCAGATGTGATTAATTATTCAAAAGGTTAAATTTATAAGTTTCTTATTTCTTATCTTAAATCAGTCGTTTTTGTGTTGTTTTTTTTTCGTTTTGCGCTTTATTATCATACACTGTTCAAATATTTGTTCGTCCTCGTGGATTTTGTTCACTCCAATTGTTATCTTTTGATCAACCAAATTTTGGAATATTTGTATTAGATAAGGTATACTTACTCTTCTAGACACCCGATACCACTTGTCATTATGAATTACTTATTTTTGATTGATATACTTCCTCATACTAAAATTTAATTTTGCTGCTACCAACGCATTGCTGAACTGTTCTGTTAGATTTGGGGTTTCAGATAAGCATCGGTTCAAAGGAAATTTTCTAGTCCGTACGATTTAGTCAATGGATTAGTCAACAATACTAATCAAGATATTCCGAATTTGAAATTTTACTTCCAGTTTCAGTTGAATTTCATGTTCGTCCATCTCATGGTGGCTTTTCTTAATCATGACATTAAAGTTACTTGCCATGATTTTAAAGAATAGCTCAGATCCTGTCAACAACAGCCTTAAGCAAGAAGCTCTACAAGTGTCTTAATAGAAACCGGAATAGACACCATTTTCTACATTAATAATGACAAGTCACGCTGTTTTATGGTTTAGTAGGTAGAATGCTGTAAGACATCTGTGAAATTATAGTGTTTCTATTGAAATAAAGGTTTGCTTGAAGTGAACCAATTTCATCTTCACTACGTTTACGGTTTAACAGAAAAACCACAAAAATATCGTTAGATAAAATAGAATGAGTTTTACGTCATACTTTCTACAGCTAATGAAGATGGGCAACGCCATGCAGTGTGCAAATTTTTCAAGGACAGCTGCTTTTTACTTATTCGATTTCCACGTTACCACCACCTTCTTAAAAGAAACTACAACTTCTAATTATCCAAACTTGGATCTATCCAATATACTGTATACAATTCTTTCTTTTTGTTCTTGCAATTTGACTTTGATGGAGGGGAAATTTATAATTGACGTATGTCTTAGTCTACTGTCTCTTGTAAGGTTCATTATAGTTCCCATAATTTTCATCTTAGAGAATTAGAATTGTATTTATAAAGGTATTTCAATCTCTGTTCATTTAATTAACTTTGTTTAGAGAGAAAAAAAGACCCGGTTTAAAAAAAAAACAATGATTTATTGTCTTATTTGGCTCGAGGTTATTTTAATATTCCTGTAGTTTTTGAGATTTCTTTTATTAATAATTTTGTTAAGAAAAATCTGAGATTTTTTTGTATATTTCTGAAACGCAATTATTAGATTTGTTGTCATTATCAGCATTGTGTAATCGTACAAATTGCCTATACGATTTTTTCCTTTAATCGCCTTTCTGGGATTGGAAGAGATTTTTTTATGTACAAAATAATTATTATACATATTATTGCAGAAGCATTATATACTGCTATTGAGCAAGTACAATTGTACGACAAAACAGTACATAATAATTAGGCTCTTAGCAAGGTAATGCTTTTTGAGAGTATGAAGCAATGCCGACGTTTCTTACTAGAACATTCAACCCCAATTGACACTTATTGAGCGTTCTGAAAGCAATCACAATTTAGCTTTTTTTTTTTTATATTCGTGCAATCAGCCTTAAAATGTTTTTAAGTGTACATGTACTTTAAATCAAAACAAAACAAGTCATTTCTGGTCTAACGTACACACATAAACTCTAGCATCTTCACAATGTTACTAACTACGTCTAACACCTTGACATCATTAGATAGTTGTCCTTTATTAAGGTTACAAGTTTGTGAATGTATCGAATTGATTGGATTGATTAGATTAAAAACCAATCCGTCAAAGGAAATATAGTAAACAATATGGCTGAACGTGCAATCGAGTGTTCTGATTGGATACATTCCCTGGTGTACAATCCAATCGAATCGCTGCATTTACAAACGCCCGTGTTAAAAGAAAAATAACAAATGATGTCAAGGACTGAGACGGGGTTCATGACAACATTATTGCATTTATGTGAAGATCTCGCTCAATTAATAAAGGAACATGTACCATGTTTGTACGTTTAAACATTAATTGTGTACATTAGGGTAGTTTTTCATGCGCAAGAGCCATCTGTAAATGAATATGGGCCTTTTGGTTGTTTCAATTTTGATTAACGTATATGAAAAATATAAACCTATATTTTATGTGTATCAGGGACACTGACAGCGTCAATTTGTACCATTCCAATTTTCAATCAGATGTCTATGGTTCCTACAATTCCACAAAAAATATAAGTGTTTGATGACGTCACTTAATTATTACGTATGGCCCTTCGCGATTGGTGACATCATCACAGTTTTTTGGAGTTGTGCAGGAACCAAACGTCTGATTGAAAATTAGAATGATGCAAAGTTGCTATCAGTGTTTCCGATACACAATAAAAATTTAGAAAACCTCTTTACAATCCCTTGAAATTAAACGTTACAGCAATATTAAACAATAACAATCAGCATGGCCACTTTGTTTTGTAGCCCAACCTTTTTGTAAGTAAACGCAGAAATCAATTTCGTTCATGCCCTTGGTGACCTCCCTTGGGATATCTACCATGTAAAGTTTTCTCTGTCGTGACTTGTAATAAAAGAATTTTTCTAATGTTGATTATCTTGTCATTTCAGGTAGCCACCAGCTGATATATATGTTACAATCAATACTATAGCATTGTATCTATATATATGGCCTGTTTCTACTCCGCGTATAACTTTACATATAGACATATATATTGCCAGTCTCCTTAGTGCTAGCTGGTTGGATCGGATTGCAGTTTCTATTGTTATGGTTACGGCTTGGGTTGAATAAATAATAAATTTGATTAATGGCAATTACACTGGAACAATATCAATCATAGAATCTGAACATTATGTGATTAAGAAACTAGGTTCGTGTTTTGGATGAGTGGTATGACTGCAGAACACGCAACAACTACTGATAGAATTGAATATCTGTCGTTTCATTGATGAAATTGACAGGCTGCTCATTAAAGTGTGACTTAATGGATTTCAGCGTGATTTTTTTATATGCGAAATGACTGGAAAGCGAAATACAACACTTTTGTTATTGTAAGATGAATGCGCAATACTCGTGAGACTATTAATATTGCATCGTTCTATTATATTACATCGATACTAAAAAAATAATCGCTAAGTAATTGATATTACTGTGTTAAAGCAAACAAAATTCTGTGTTATATTAATATTGTGAGATAGTGGTATATGGTACGTATTTGGTGAGGGAAATACCAGCACAAAATCATTGAATATATCCATTGTCCATGCAAAAAACTACGTTGCTAACTTAAGTCATAAGGAGATTTGGCAATGTTTTCGCGTGGAATTGTTCATTAGCGATACACACTTAGTTCCGACAGAGTGAGTGATCGTTCAGTTGTGGTGTATCAATTTTTACTCTTGAGCAGAAACATGGAAATTCGTATGCAACTAGTGTCATAGTAGTTTGGTGATTGTATGGAATTTAAAAGCCTTGTGCACCCTCTGGTTTTGTTAACAGAGTTTCCCTACTCCGCTATTTATTGACGTTATTAACGTATGTTATGAAATGACGAGATGACCTTAAGTGACCTTTGAGAAGAATGGATAATTAGATGTGTAATGTAATTATATACCGTACCATTAGTACGCTAGTGATAAAAGTACAGAGATAAGCAAAAATTCCAGTAGATCTATAGATATGTCTTCGTTTCATACGGACGGTATTGATATAATATTGTAACAGTAGAACCTGCGTTACAGACCATCGTAACGTCAAAATCAACGTAAAAATGAATGACACACACGTCACGGGTGACGTGACTACCGCCAGAGGTGACACTTTTAACAAACAAGCAGAGGAACAAATGAAAGCGTTTTATTACATTTTAGCGTTTATATCTGTGTACATTGCAACGTTTATATTGTGTTTACTGAAATATGTGAAAATTCGAAAGAAATGTTTTGGAGAAGTGGGCATATATAAACCATTACTCAAACTCTACGAAAGTGACTTGGGATTAAGTGAAGAAGCCGGCGTGGAAGAAGCTCTTCCGGACAGCAACGAAAAGAAAACAGAACAAGGTGACAATACCATAGTTTGATTGCTGTAGTGGATATACAGGATAATCATAGCTTCATAAGCCAAATCCTTATTTCCATCTTACCAGGCTTTACAAAATATTCGTTTGATACACAGGAATACTGGATTTGTGACGTAACAATTCACGTTTCAACAGCAGGTTTCAAGAAATTGTGCATGTATTATTATAGTTTATAAAATATCAGAAATTAATGTGAAACAGACGTCACCAAAAGAAGTCGACCAAGGGGAATAATTCATGCATAAAAACTTAATTACGACGTGGCTCCAAACAATGTTTAATTCATCACATGGAACTTTTTCTGTTTCATCTCACTTGTCCTTTTCATTATTCAAACTGTCTTTTTTATTGTAGAATTCATTATAATGTGAATGAATGTGTCTGCGGTTAGAAGCGACGTGATTTAAGTTTGTGTGTTTGACAAATTGGAATGTTATGTACAGACATGTTAATAGTGTGTTACATGTTTTTTTCTTGTACCGTTTAATTATTTTATATAATAAGCACAATTTTCAATGCCTTGATCAAACGAAATGCATCGATCGAAGATGTTTGTTTTGTTTTTATCAATGACATTAGATTAGATATAGGATTATGGTTGGTATTAAATCCAAACCACCAAATCGCATAAACTGACCTAAACGAAAGTAAAAATTTGAATTGGTATTAGTATTGATTAATTCCTAACTGAGACGAAAACTATTGAATTTAATTTTTAATGCTTTATTTGGTTTATATAAACCGGCAACACTAGGCAGTGTGCAGTGAGGGAAATATTTCTAGGACAACAGCATTGGCTTGCTCTTTCCACGTACAACTGGGGGTTAATTTGAATGAACAAATGTATGAAATAAAAGATTTTCAAAATTCACGAATTCAGTTTAAAATCGCACACTCGTCATCCATTATTCTTTCAAATTTCAGAATTTTGGTTCAAAGATTACGACATCCTTGATCATAAATGGAAATAGCCCTTTTTCATGGTTGTACGGAAAAGCAGTTCTGATTTTAACCTGTTTTTTATCAAAAGAAATATTCCAATCGATGTTATTTATTTTGTATAAAATATCAAACGAATTCATTTGAACATAAACATTTATAAAAAAAAAAAGCGAATTTAATATCACAGAACAAGTGATGATATTTAACTTTTTAATTTGTTTATGTTACAAGAGTTCAATACTTACGTTGTGGCAAGTTACAGATTTTGATAACACAAACATTTGTTTTTCAGTCTTGTAGCTTTCTAAAACTGTCAAGTCGGTACCAACTGAAATTTGTTGTGCAATGTTTCGCTTGAGCTGTGATTTGTTATTTTATGTTCTTAACTGTAGCGAGTGGCAAAACGTTCGAATTAATACGCAAAGTACAAACATCGTTGAAAACTATATTTAAAAATATATATATATATATATTTAAGCTCTAATTGAATGTAACTAATGATTTTAGAAATATTCAAGATTTTTTTTTTTGAATTTTTTATGCGTTCGATATGAAACAGTGTACATTCTGCTTGAAATTAATCAGTTAGATTTACATGCCTTTTTGTTTGGCGCCAAAATATATTTGTATGACCGTTCTCCTATTCCAAAACTCGATTTGTAAATGTCTTTGGATCAATTTGGAAGATGTAAAGTCACAAATGTGCATCAAGAAAGGATTTTTAATGAATCTTTTTTCAATCAATACCTCCATTATGAAGGATTATATACATAAACTACGTTTTACCGTGATTACATTTTGCAAGTAAAACATCTCAAAAGCAACGCCTCAGAGACCGTCTTATCTGGTGATGCTTTTAGCTTGGTAAAAATGAATCTTCAATTTTTTTTAGATCATTCCAGATAATAGCATGGTTATTATGTCTACATATAATTGTACATAAGTCTTATTTGTTTTTTTGCGATGGTTTGTTCAGTGGATGTTTGGATGCGTTGCTTGTCCTTCCTGTTAAAGACATTTTTTAGAACAAGATAGAATTCAGTAACCAGTAAGAATGTCCAGATTTTCTGTTAATTTACAGCGAGATTGATACTTTACTGTGACTGTCAACTACTTTTCAAAGATTGTCAGTTAGTTTACAAAGAATGTCAGTTAGTTTACAGAGATTGTCAGTTAGTTTACAGAGACGGTCCGTTAGATTACATAGACTGTCCGTTAATTTACAGAGACTATCTGCTATTTACAAAGAATGTCTGTAGGTTAACAAAGCCTGTCTGTTAATTTACAAAGAATGTCTTTTAGTTTACAAAGACTGCTTGCTAGTTTACTGATACCTATTAGTTGACATTGATTTGTGGTTATAAAGAGATGCCGAGTGGCGACAGGTGTCCTGAAAAGAGTGAGCATTCCCTTCATCGCTGACAACATCCGAATCACGGTACCTATTTCAGGATAAAAGGGTCTTATACTTCCGTATGCTCAGTTTTGTATATTAAAATGAATCGTGGTGGCATCGCTAGAGAAACAGGGCATTTTGGAGTGTCCGCATAGCTAACATTAATTATTTGTTATATTTTAACAGGAGGAATGTAAAGTGTGTATCGCAGTATTGACATGTGTGCCTTTTACCGTATTATTGTATATTACTGTGTAAATATATAAATCATTGAGCATTATTAAGAAGTATTCAGTATAATATAATATCATTTATTATTCAAACTCATATTGTTTTGTGGGCGTATTTACCGAAATATCCCACCCCCTTTTCCGTAACCACTCCCACTCCCCTTCCGTATTAGCCCAATGTTACCCTCAACAATGGGACTTCAATTCATTTATACATCCACATAAAAATCATACAATTTCCAGGCTAGAGGATGTTTATGAAATCCTACTCAATATTTAGGAGAAGATAAACTCATATTGTTTTGTGGGCGTATTTACCCCACCCCCTTTTCCTGACACCCCACACACACATCACACTCTCCATCCGTATTAGCCCACTGTAATCCTCAACAATGGGACTTCAATTCATTTATACATCCACATAAAAATCATACACCAGGCTAGAGGATGTTTATGAAATCCTACTCAATATTTAGGAGAAGATAAACTCATATTGTTTTGTGGGCGTATTTACCCCACCCCCTTTTCCTCACACCCCAAACACACATCACCTCTCCATCCGTATTAGCCCAATGTAATCCTCAACAATGGGACTTCAATTCATTTATACGCCCACGTCAAAATCATACACATTCCAGGCGAGAGGATGTTTATGAAATCCTATCTCAATATTTAGAAGAAGATTTGCGTGTACGTTTCAATCAAGGTTCAAGTGCTTTCCTGTCAATTTTGATAATAATCTCACAATTTTTTCTCGCCTTTTCTTCACGTTTTCCGGCGTTCAAGTATATTTTTTTTTTGTACATATCAGGTGTTCCAAACAAACGCCCCGAAGTTCAACAGGTAGTATCTCAGCTGTTGGTAATCTGATCTCTGTCAAAATTCTCACAGATATACATTGTACTTCAAGATGTCGTTGCCCAACCGTGAAAATATGAAAGTCATGGAATAAAAATTGTACAAGTATTGCCCCGAACAAAATAGCATATCAAAAAATACAATAGCAACTTGCTTATTTCAACCTTTGTCCTCCATGTAATCAGATGGATTATGCCATTCTCTGAAGGAAAAGGTGTACCTGGAACAAACTTACTGAACAGGAATTGAAAGGCAGAATAGTCACTTCATGGGAGCAGATAACAAAAACGGTTGCGATCGGTGGTCGAAGAAGATGGAGGCCACAGGTTGCCTTGATGATATTGTATTTGTTGGCATGCTATTTTGTTAGGGGCAGTACTTGGTCAAGTTTTATTCGATGACTTTCATATTTTAGGGATGGACAACGGCATCTTGAAGTATATCTGAGAGAATTTTAAAAGATTAAATATATCCAAAAATTTCAACCTCTCGATTGCTTCCTACGTGTCTGATTAACGACTGATATTAAACTGTTAAACAATGTTAAACGATATAAAAAATAACATGTAGACACTAAACGCCCTTCGTATCTAGCAATTTAAGTGTAATTTCATGTTTTATTAATGTAATGATCAAGTTTCTAAAACACAACACGTTTCATTTTTTCATACATTACCAATAGTTTCTATTTTTAGCAGAACTTATTCTAGGATTACGTTGTATCAATTACTAAAAATCAATGTTAAAAGCCAAGTACACTTCAATCAACAAACCAATCTATTCGGTGTCAATTTTGAAAAACAGGTATTGTGATGTGAAAGATTTAGTTCAAAATGGTTTGAGAGGCTACCCAAAGGCAATAAATTACCATTACGGAATATGGATTGCTTTTCAGTCTCTGGCTGCTGTAATTCCAACGTGAGCACATGACGTAACAATCGCATTCAAGCCGAATAAAATGCCCCAATTCTGAAATGGTGCCTTATTATACCTTGACTGCAATAGTCACATTTCTTGCATCACTGAAGTTGTAAATGCGGTGATTTGATTGGATTGGATTGTACGCTAGCAAATAGAGCCATGAGGCGTCGACAAAAATCTGTAAACACTAAACCATAATGTATACAGTCTTTCGGTCGAGGGCTCTCACTGGTTGTATTCGCTGGCATACAATCCAATCAAAGCGCTGCATTGCGTGATACAATTGATTAATTTGAGCTTGAAATTGTGAATATGAGCCAGATGCAAAGGCAGGGAAACTTCTTTTGAATGTCTTTAAAAATGCCTTTTAATACCATTTCCTTAATGATTCTAACAGAACACGTCATACATTGTTTGGTTGATGTTTTGTGCAGATAAAACTAGAGATATAATGCTTATAGAACAATAAGTACATTAAATAAATTAAATAGAAGAATGGAAGAATAATAAAGGAGACGAAATGATTTGCTATAAACACATTATAACGAAAGGGTAGACGTATAATTGATTATTAATGTTTTACTATACATGTATTTATAGGAACATGCTATTGTGAATATTTTACATCAAAAGAAATTTTAAAAGGGTTTTTTGGTAGTGTGATATATGCAGGGCATCTACATCTTTCTTCAAAGCGTCCGAAATTTATATATTTACCCCTTCGTAATTCAATTAGAATTAGACCCAACATTCGTTTCGTTTTCTTATTAGTTTTTATTTTCAATATGGCCATTTTACAGTAGGCCTACTCTGAAGTGGTTATACTAAAACTAAAAACTGATAAAAAAAAGAAAGAAAAGAAACGAAAGTAGGTCAAATTTTAATTAAACCGACCCCTTCGTTTTTTGTCTTTGCATTGGACGTTGTATTGTTGGAGAGGAAATCGTATATGATTTTTTTTACGAGATAAAGCCCTACAACTCTGGTCCTACCTAGTCTACAGTGATATAACGATGTGATATCG